TATTGTTATTTTCTTGCTTATGATTAACCATGCCTTCAGCAATTCTTGTACTGAATTAATAGTCTAGCCTGTTTTATGCAAATATCCTTTACCAATATCCCAATATTTTTCAATGGGCTGGAATTGTGGGCAAATGATGGATTAAGCTTTTTTGGTACAAAATTAACCTTTCTCAATTTATACCACTCCAAAATTTTTACTAAACAAATAAAAATTTTGGAGTGGTATTTATATAACTAAAAATTTTTGATATTTTTTAATAACAATCAAGGTCTAGTCTGCGATCAAATGAGAGCAAAAGTCACTTTTAAAAGCACTCTTGAATATAAATTTCTGATATTCTTTTTTCCACTATAACAAATTGCTCGCCATAAGAGCAATTTTTTCCCATACTTATCCACAAGTTTGTATTTATACTTATTGCTTACACTGCCATATAATATTTGTCACCAGGAAGTTGATTAAAGTTTTAATTAAGACTCGTTATCCATCAAAATGTAGCCATTCAATTTTGTCAAAACTTGGATGTAAAGTTTTCGTGCTTGGGTTTTGCCAGTAGAATTTGTTTGTCAGAATGATTTGGGTATTTAAAATTTTTTTCTACCTGATCCTTTAGCTTGTTTGATGGATAAAGTCTTATATTGTTTTATAACTCTTCCAACAGTAGATATAGAAGTTCTAGTAGCTTTTGAGACTCGTTTCATGTAGTTCCATGATGGATTTTTTTCATGAATGTGCAAGATTTTTTTCTTATTTTCTCCATTCTCTTATTTTCTCCATTCTTAATTTGCTCCAATCAAATTTTAATAAATTATAATTTGAATTTTTTTTTAATTTTTTTGACTACATTTATATTATTTATTAAATTTTTGACTACTAAATAGTAGTAGTCAAGTAATAATATTATTACTTGTATAAAATATTATATTTTTTAATGTGTTAGTAATTTGTTTTTCAAAATTTTTTTTTTTTTTTTTTTTTTTTAATCTCATGCTTTAATGAGATATTAGGCATCAAAAAATTTGGATAAAACTAGGGTGATAAAATTTTTCAATTCAATTTATCTGGCAGTTGAAATTAAGCAAATTATAAAACTCCAATTAAAAACATAAGATAACTTTTGGTATTGTTTTAAATGATAAGATCATTCATAATTTAATTTTAAAAGCTACAAAACTATTGAAAAGTTCAAGTGAGTTTAAAAATGTTTTTTACTAACCCTGATTTAACCGAAGCGATATGAAGTTATTAAGAGAGGTTAAAAAAATTTAAAAATTCAGATTCTTTGCTATGTTATTATGGTATACAAAGCAACAGAGTTGTTAAAACCATAAAATAACAATTACTTTTTAACCATAGGAAATTAAGTCATTGAAGTCATTGTATTTCAAGACAAATTCGTCATGTATTAGTAATGATCCACTTATATTTAAATCAAGTAAACAAAAGGAAATAATTAGTACAAAAATGTAATTGTAATAAATCAATGATGCCAAGCTATTGTTTCTCTAATTTTTAAAAAAGGAGCTACTGGGGATCCAAATAATTATAAACCCATCTCACTAAAATGCATTTTTTGTAAATGCAATGCATTTTAGTGAAGTTGCACTGAGTAGTGAATGCCTTAGGGATGAACAATAAGCTAAAAAGAGTTTAGCAGGATAAAAGAACAAACGTGCATTTAAACACTTGTTAAAGAGTATCTAACTCATCATAAGTTAATAACTCATAATCAACATGGTTTTCTCATTAAATGCTCCACCTGTACAAATTTCTTAAAATCTACTAATGATTTCAACACTGCATTCTATAACCACCAATTGACAGATGTTGTATATATTGATTTCCAATAAGTGTTTGACTCGTATCCCAAACTATTAATTAAACTTGCATCATATAATTTAAGAGGTAGTCTTTTAAATTGGGCTTCGGCATTCTTCACCCATAGATTCTCACCTAATTTATAGTTATTCATTATACCTTTGCATAATGAGTATTGAGTTTGATAGAAAACTACCAACAAGTTAAGGTTAGTAGTTTTCTATCAAACTCAATACTCATTATGCATAGGTATAATGAATAACTATAAATTAGTTGAGTATTTTATGGCTTGGTCTTCTAGCCTAAAAGATCTAAGAGTAACAATGGACTGTAATCTTAACTAATAAAATTTTTTTTCTAACATCATCCATCAAGCCAACTCAAGAGCATACCTAATATTGAAATGTTTTAAAAATTGCAACCCTTGTATCCTAGTTAGAGTTTTAACTAATCTTAACTTTAAAAAACATATTTCTAACGTCATCCATCAAGCTAACTCTAGAGCATACCTAATATTGAAATGTGAGCTTTCTTTTAAAAATCTGATACTGTTTCAATGGTTATGCATGTGCTCTTACATACATTTTGTGATAGATCTTCAACTGGTGAAAAATATACTGTAGAGCCTGTTTTTTGATGGAAACCTTGCCCCAAGTATCATTGGTAAATCCAACTAGAACATATATATATATATATATATATATACTCTCTTACACAGCACGCGGTAAACGCTCCATCTTTAAATGTATTTAAAGATCGGATTTCGATGCGATAAACTGTTAAATCAGCATAGAGACTCCTGGAAAAGTCTCTTCATCAAATAAATAATTTAACATTTAAATATATACATATGTATATGTATATATTTTTTAATTATTGTTACAGCATTATTGCGGTTTAAATGTATAAATTTGATTACTGAATATATCAAACTCAAACTCATATATATATATATATATATATATATATATATATGTTTTTGTTTAATGATATTGAAAATTAGTTTCATTTTCTATTTAACTTTATTTAAAATATATTTTACATATGGTCAATTATTTATAACAAGAATTTTTCAAATTATTTTGAAAAAGATTTTTAAATATAATTTAAAACTGTAATAGAAAAAAAAAATTTCACGCTTAATCTATATGTATTGATTTATTTTAAATTTAAAAGTATTATTCTATATAATTAAAAATGTCAATGAGAAAATGGGAAAAAGAAGGCTAGAGAATGGAAGGTAGTAACTGAATTTTCAATTAAAATTTGAACTTGAAATTCAAATGAACAAACTTGTTCCTCTGCGCAGCGGCCTTGTTTATAAAGATTCATGTTTAGGAGTTAAAGAGTTGAGAGAGGATTGTAACCATAACACGGTAGCCTCCTCGACTGTTGTGTTGGCTTCTCTGGTCACCACTACTCATTTAAATTCAACTTGGAAGGTGAATAATATAAAGTAATAAAAATCTCAATCGATAAAAATATTTGAATAAAAATTGTAATAATGTATTTCCAAATAATGATTCAAATAATAGTAAACCTGCTCTAATAGGTGCTATTGTTGGTTATATTAGTTAATAATAATAGTTAATAATTATTTTAGTTAATAATATTATAGTTATATTGTTAAACTTGGTTATAATAGTTCATAAACTTATTAAATATCTTTAAAAAAACCCAATAATACCCAGAATTTCCAGGGTTTTATTGGGTTTTTTTAGGCAGGTTTTTTTGGGTTTTATTGGGCGGGTTTTTTTGGGCAGGTTTTTTAATGCCAACCCTGTATAGAAGTATATATATATATATATATATATATATATATATATATATATATATATATATATATATATATATATATATATATATATATATATATATATATATATATATATATATATATATATATATATATATATATATATATATATATATATATATATATATATATATATATATATATATATATATACTCTTGCATGTCTCTTGCGTAGCATCAAAAAATATTTCCCATAAACTGTAGTTTTAAAGAGCGCGTTAATAAACCAGACCAGAAAAAGTTTTAAAAATTAAATTTTTTTTTTTTAATTGATAGACTGCCTGGCCAAACCAAACCCTCAGTCGATGTAGCAGCACTCTCTTGCAAGTCAGGCTATTTGTCAGTCGTTGTAGCAGCACTCCCTTGCGAGTCAGGCTATTTGTCAGTCGATGTAGCAGCATTCCCTTGCGAGTCAGGCTATTTGTCAGTCGATGTAGCAGCACTCCGTTGCGAGTCAGGCTATTTGTCAGTCGATGTAGCAGCACTCCGTTGCGAGTCAGGCTATTTGTCAGTCGATGTAGCAGCACTCCGTTGCGAGTCAGGCTATAAGATAGTCGATGTAGCAACATTAACGCATGTTTAAAAAATGTTTTTTATTAAATCAATAACAAAAACACCACTAATTAAAAAAACTTTCTAGTCGTTATAATTGCGGTTTTTTAAAAATTTTTTAAAAAACAATTAAATTTAATGTACTTCCGCATAAATTAATTGCTTTGACATTTCGATGACAATCAAAAACAGCTTAAGAGACGAGGTAATTAAAATTGTAGTCGTAAGAGACTTTTTTTACATTAAAATGCTCTTAAAGCGACACTATATGAGTATATATATATATATATATATATATATATATATATATATATATATACATATATATATATATATATATATATATATGTATATATTTATATGTGTATATATACACATATACATATTTATATATATACATATATATATATAAATGTGTATATATACATATAAATGTGTAAATATATATACATATAAATGTATATATATATATATATATATATATATATATATATATATATATATATATATATATATATATATATATATATATATATATATATATATATGTATATATATATGTATATATATATGTATATATTTGTATATATATATATATATATGTATATGTATATATATATGTATATGTATATGTATATATATATATATATATATATATATATATATATATATATATATATATATATATATATATATAAAATATATATATATATATATATATATATATATATATATATATATATATATATATATATATATATATATATATATATATATATTGAACTTCTTTTTATGACTGATTATAAAATAGGTTTATTGTCAATGGTATTAGAAAGTTTTGTACATGGATTTGTTCCCGACGTATCATTTATTCCGATAAGCATAAGTTTTGAAAAAATTACAGAAGAAAATTTATACATGTTTGAGTTACTTGGTATTCCAAAGCCAAAAGAATCGTTATTGGTTAGATTTTTTTTTTTTATTAAGAGTTAACCAAGATTTATAAAAATAAAATGATTTGAATTAACTTTTCAGGGAATGCTAAAAGCCAGATCAGTTTTATACTCAGATTATGGTTCAGTCTGCATTTACTTTGGAAAAATCATGTCTTTAAAAGACTTCTGTAAAGGAAAAATTGATAACATAAGTTATGTAAAAATACCAAGGTATGTCGTAATAGCAGCGTTTGTTTTTTATAATTTATTCTATCAAGTTATTTAGTTTGTAAATTACCTTGCTAGAAAAATTATTTAACCTTTTTATGTTCAGAACATAAAATATTTAAATCATTCTTAATTAAAGTATATATAGTAAAATATATTAAATTTATGTATATATGTGAATATGTATTTTAAATCAATAACTTAAAGAATAATAATCAGGTTTTTAAAGATATTCAGTCTGAATAGAAAAATAAGTCAAAAGTAAGTCAATAAATCAAAAGGTTTTAAAAAAGTTTTTTTTTTTTAAAATAGCAGTTTATGAATCTGAATCAATTTTTTGTTTACAATAGCAACTTATGAATCATTATTATTTTTTTTGTAATATAGAATTTTTAAATAATTAAATTATATAAAAAAAGCATGTAAGAAATTAAATAATGAAAATCTAAATTCGATTTGTTTAAACAGCATGTTGTAGCAGGTAGAGTACCTGAGCATGGTTGGTTAACCTGCATGACAAATATTATAACAGATTATGCATAAGTTTTCCAACAAATTTTAATTTAATTTTTCTTTCTAACTAAATAATCACATGGTTTGATGTATATGAATAAAAAATCTATGAAATTGTCATTCTTTTATTTAAAACAAACTTATTAAAAATAAATTTAATGCAGCAGAACGATAATTTTTTTGAAAATGTCTTTTTTTTGTAAAAAACCATAATATAAAATTAAAGTCATTACTCACTACTCAAAAAAGAAGAAATAGCAAGAAAAACAATCTATAATAACATAAAAAAACTCTAAACTGGTCGTTCAATTTCTGATAAAAAGAATTCTAGTCATCACACATCTCAGACTAAAAAAAAAGCTAATCTAAAGAAACTTTTTAACAACTGAAAAGGGGTCAATCAGAAAAAATTGGGTTTTGAATTTGATGTAAATCAATTTAGTACTGGTCATCAATTAAAAAAAATAAATATTCAATTATATGTAAAAAGATTCCCAAATGCAACATTAAACAACAAATAAAAGCAAAGAAAAGAAGCAGAAAACTTAATCAATTCTATAGCACAAAATCACTTTTGGTAGGGGAGGGAGTAGTGGTATAAATTTTCAGGCAAAATTTGATTCAAAATATACAGGTAAGTTTTAAATCGGAGAAATTTTCCTTAAAAAAATATTTTTTTTTAAAGAATAATAATGATAAGTAAAAAAAAATTTCAAAAAATTACTAGGTGGTAACTTTTTAAAATTTTCTGGTAAATTTTGCCTTCGCAACACTATGAGGGAGGGAGGTCCCAAATTCTATATATTTTTTGTTTAAACAGTTATTCTTAATTATTTTAGAAAAAATCAAAAAACAGTTTTTGTTATTTTTTTGTGGTTGACTTTCTACTTCTATTTTTAACATTTAAAAAATATTAAAAAACTTAAAAACTAGAAATCTTTGCAACATTTTCTTTGTGTGTAACTTCATATTAATATTTATGCAATTTAAATTTTGGTTGGATAACTTTGAAATGAAACGAAGAAAAGTTGCTTTTAAACAAAATAAGCCTTTCTTTTAAATTTAATCTCAAGTGTAAAAATTTGCTTTTGATTCACTTAGTTAGATAATAATTTTGCTATTATTTTTGTAAACTAAATTTAGATACCGATAAAAATGAAAAGTATTGTATTAAGAAGTAACAAAATAATAAATAAATCATAAACTAGTAAAAAAAGTAAATCAAAATTCATAAACTTCTTTTCTTAGAAATCCCCCAATACTTAAATATCCAAGCCATTATGAAATCAAGATTCAGGTAATTTAGAAATATTTTGGGAAATGTGTCTCATTGTTAGAAAATTTAAAAATTCAAAAACATTCAGAAACAGTTACAGAGACAGAGTGGGTTAGCAAAAAAAGGGAACTGTGAGCTTTACATTAGCAGTCTAAGAGAAATTATTTCTTGGCTTGTATAAAATTTCAAGGCAGCCCATTTATTTGCAAAAAAAGAAAAAGATCTATTAAAATGTCAAATAGGATGTTTATTTTAGTGATCCAGTAGATCATAGCAACGAAGATCAACTATATTTAAAATAACAGTTTTTAATGAAAATACGCAAAAACCACATCTTATATCTACAGAATAATAATTTAAGCTAATAGTTTAAAGTTTCTACTTGGAATGTCCTCACAACAATCTATTATCACCTATAATGACTTTCTATTGAGCAATTGCCTTATAGGTTTTAGTATTCATACACTCTTATCAGTCGCACTTGAACTAAGAACCAAATACCAGAATCCCATCCTGGCACTATTATTGGAAGGGATAGCTATCACAATTTATTTGAAACTGATGAATGTAGATGTAGATAATGATAATGCCGATATTCTCCAACCTTATTATTGCTGTGAATTATAATGCTTAGCAGCTTCTTGATGCAGAGATATTACAGAGTTGATATACAGATATCACAGTATAGACCAGAAGGGAAACTGAATAAAACTGTTGCAGATGTAGGAAAACCTAATGGGGAACCTATTTCATCTAATCTGTTAAAATAATGGTGCCAAAGAGCTACTTGCTTTCCTTTCTCTCTTATATGCCAAAGAAGATATGTATTCTGGCAACATCAGCTCCAGTTATTCTCAACTCCAATTATTCTCGACTGCAACACTATTGCATGATTTTTACCTGAAAATGCTAAAGATCTAATTTTCTTATATGATAAAGGTTGGGTTAAGTAAAATTGACGCTTTTTATTTCTTATAATTAGGACGATAAAAAAATCATAGCGAATGTTATCATACAGAAAAACAATTATCTATGTATTAGTATTTCAGTTAAAATCTTTTTTTAAGAAAAATTTTATTATTCAAAATGGCAACAAAACAGCAACAAGTGCGTAATGCAACTTTGCACGCTCAAATCTGATTTGAGTGAGATTTTGCACTAAAATGCAAAACTAGCAGACAATGGTTTGACTATCAAGAAAAAGCATAAAGTCAAGTCCTTCAAGATGTATAGTCCCAGATCACAATGCTGAAAAAAATTTGTCAAAAAGTTGTGCAGGAAAATTATACAAATTCTGTAGAAAAAAAAGTATAATTATGGATGATGAAACTTATGTGAAATTAAATTTCAAAACGATTCCAGGATATCATTTTTATATGGGAGTCTCCAGGAAAAAGGTAAAGGCTAAATTTTAAACAAAAAAACTAAAGCTTATTGCAACTGTGGAACACCCACAATGGTAATGCAATCTTTTGGCCTGACCTAGCGTCTTGTCATTACTTCAAATCCACGTTAAACTTCTACAATGCCAATAGTATCAATTTCATACCTAGAACACACAATCCTGCAAATTGTCCTGAACTTCATCCAATTGAGCAATATTGGGCAATTATTAAAGCCAAATTATGTAAGAAGTTTAAGCAAGCAAAATCAAGTACTGACTTAAGAAGAAGTGGGATAAAACCATCACAGAGTATGGATCTCACCTAGTTCAAAATCTTATGACTCTCATCAAGAGAAAAATTAGAAAATTTTATCGTACTGAAGAAATTTAATTCTTTTCTTAATTTATTTTTGTTCTAGACTTAGTAAGCGTTCAATAAAAAAAAAAAAAACTTTGTAGCTCATTCCAATCTTTTTTAACTCAAGATATAAAAAGTGTCAGTTTTACTTAACCCAACCTTTACATGGTTAAATGTGAAAAAAATGTAATGAATTATTTAAACTAGATAATAGTTACAAATATATTTTATTTATTATATTTGTCAATAGTACATATAGGTGTTGCATGCAGTGGCGTAGCGATGGTGGTAAGCGTCTGGAGCCAGAATAACTATGAAGATGTTTTTTATAATTTTTATAGCAACAATACCTTTATATTAAAAAAGACCTCTTTTTTTTTCTCTTATAAACACTTGCAATGTTTTGCAACTCCCCTTGCAAGTGTTTTCCCTGGATTATGATAGTGTATGGCTTTGCTAGCTGAGAACCAAGAGGCCATATATCCAGTTTTGACTTTTTTTCTGTTTATTACTAAAAAATGTTCTCTATGATAAAATCTGTGGTTTTAGTGATTCTACTCACAAAAAACATAAAACTTAGGTTTATATTAAAAGAACCAGAAGGCCATATGTCCAAAAAAGCGATGACTGTTATTATTAACTGGTGGTATGTCCTTTTACCAATCAGATTAGCCAAGGTTTTGTTTACGCTGTTAAACAATCGCTAAAACTCTATTTTTATCAATAAAATGGTGTACCATGAAACCACTGATGAAGTCTTTCAAAGGTACAAATATAAATATAGAGTTCTCTAAATTATGAAATCATGAATAGTTTAGACTAGTTAATGCTTACTACTTAATTCTATTATTCTAAATATTATTAATAATATATTATTATCAATAAATATTATTATTCTTATTATATATATAATAGTTATTAATTTAGATACTCAAAGGAACAAGATGTTGTTTACATTCAATTAAAACATAATTTTCAGTTTGAATACTCTAAATCTATCTCTGTTATTAAACAGAGATGCCTGGGGAAGTGGCAGAAAACACAGGAGGACTAGAAAAAATCTTACACGCAAACTAAAACAAGACCCTTGCTCTTGAAAAAAAGAAATAAGAAAAAAAAATTAGACAGAGTGGTCAGCAATATGTAGCCTCAAATGGCAATTTACAACAGGGGAAATTTATAAAAAACTGTAAGAACATAAAATTCAAACAAAAAACAAAGCTGAAACTAATGAAGAATGTAGGTTTGATAAAAGCAAGTGTGTTATTTGCTTCGTTACAGAAAATGTTTTGAGCCAACCAACAGCAAACGTTTTCAACTTTTTTTACAAACAAAAGTTGACTGTTTTTTATTTGACTGTACAATGCTGAATTTAAAAAAAATAATCATAGTGCAGTCTGCTCAGAAATTACTAGTAGTTGAACAGGAAATGATATAGCTAGTGCTCTTCTTGTTATAGTGGATCAAATAGT